CTGCTGTAACCCACTTTCCCCTCCCAGCCATTCAGTTCCTTACAAGCATCACTGTGCTTGCAACAATATAACCCAATAGGTATATCAGCTGGGCAGCAGCTGCACAATTACTAAATATGGAGAAAGTCTATTAGCTTATTAATTTTGTGTTGATATTGTAAATCACAGTTATCTTTCTGCAGTGTTAGATGCATTAAATGCAAAACAGGTGGCTCTAAGAAATGGATACATTTTAAAAATTATAAATGTGTTGGGGAAAATGCTGCTATTTTAATTTCAAGTATTTAAATCTGGGACATGTATTATTTAATTCTGTTTTTTTTTCTTTTAAGTGCCTGGTATTATTGTTCTTCAAAACATATCATTGTGCAGCTACTAACTCAACACAACGTAACAGACCTGGATGGACTAATTTCATCTTTTGCCATCTTTCTGGGTTTCCCTCATGCTATTCCAGAGGTGCAAACTATCTGGAATAAGAGTGTACAATTCTTTATTCCTCACCAGTTTTTCAGTTGACATTTTTAAAAGCAAATAAAATTCTAACTTGTATGTTTAAAATACTGAAAGCAATTAAACTGGCCAATGTATTTCTAAAAATTAGAAGTCAGACTCTTTCTGGCAACAGTTATGTGTTGGATTTTGTACCCAAGAAAAGCTGTAGTAGTTTGTGTAACATCAGTGGAATGTGGATCCAGAAACATTTAAAAAAACATTTTTAGTCCTCAAATATATCTCTGGATATAGTTTTCTTCTTTGTTTTTAAAGTGTGTGTTTGGGTTAAGAGAAAGAGTTACATGCTGAGTGAATTGTACAAAGCTAATTAAGATTATATCAAATAGATAACAATTGACAGCATTTATTATCAAATCTGCTAAAAAAATTTGCAATCCTGTCATCTGTATCACCAAGATAAGAAGTGACGTTCTGCTGTGTGTCTTTTCACAGGATCTGTTGTTCAGCGTGTGTGCTCTCAATATCATCTCCACAATTGTCTGTGCTTTGGCAACTGCAATGTGCTGCATGCAGATGGTTTCTTCTGATGTTTTGCAAATGGTGAGTGCATTTTAATGATAGTTATATTCTCTCTATCAATATGTCTGTATGTTATATGCAGATATATTTACATGTATTATTTATAATTTATACATGGGGGGGTATAAAGTCAATGATGGTTGATGTGGTATAAAAGTTTTGTCTGGAAGAGAGATTTTGAAACTGCTAAGACGTGACCATTAACTTGACAAGTAACAAGTTCAGTTTTCAGCTATCACACTGTTCTGGCAGATCTAGGCAGCTATCCATTAGTGTCTCAGCTGTAGTAGAGGGTATATACAAAAAGCAGCAACAGCTGTATATTCAGTCATGCACTTTGATATGCTGCACAGAGTCAGGAGGAAGGACTGGCACAACTAGTTACACAGGCATAGTTTAAAAGTCCCGTTTAAGCTGGAAAAAATAACAATGAGTTTGAACTGATTACAGAAATGCAACCATGTGCCAGTGTAGGCCTCTGGCTGGTGCAAAATACCATTAGCTGCCATTTTTACTGCATTTAATCATGTGACATATGGATACAAAACACCTTTACAGTCAAATGTGCCAGCAACTGGTTACAAACTTGGTCAAAAATTTTTGTGTGTATGGAGCCTTAAGTAATTAGTGGGGGAGAGCGGGACGGTGGTGGTGGGATATACACCTCTACCCCGATATAACGTGACGTGATATAACACAAATTCGGATATAACGCAGTAAAGCAGTGCTCCGGGGGGGGGGGGAGGACTGCGTGCTCCGGTGGATCAAAGCAAGTTCGATATAACGCGGTTTCACCTATAACGCGGTAAGATATTTTGGCTCCCGAGGACAGCGTTATATCGAGGTAGAGGTGTATTTATTAGTAGGTTCAATGCAGTCATGGCTCCAAAAGTGCATGATAAATGCAGTTTCTCATTGGTGCATAACATAAGTTGTGCATATATGTATGTGTGTGTTTATAAATAGACATGCAGTGCTTGTTCCATAATCCTTCTTTCGTGTCATGAACAGCATTGAGAAAGAGTTCTCTCATTTCAGCTCATGAGACAGTGTGTGTAAAATATTAATCAAAAGAAGATTTTTATCATATGGTGTATTTTGTACAGAATCATAGGTCTTGTTTTTTCCTTTTCTGTATCTCAGCTGCAAGATGCCTGATAACTAAAGGTCCTGATCACAAAGGAATTTTCTCACCTTTCAGTAATGAAAGGGAGAATAACTGATGCTCAGACCTGATAAGATCAGTCTGTCTAGCGTAACAATAATGTCATGCACCCAGGAGTGTAGTCATGAATATTCAGAGAAATTTAACTCATGATTGTTTTATGTCATTTAGCAGCACATTTCTCTGGAACAAAAACATACAGATGACAATGTTCCCACTGGAATATTAAAGTGCTCGGTTGCTCTTCTTTTCCCGATGGCCATGATTAGCCTGAAGATTATTCATTTCCCTACTCTCTGAACCACAATCAATACTTTTTCTTTCTGATCCCCTTTTCTGAAAAGCATGTACAAAAAAGATAGGAACTTGAAAATGTATTTATATTTCTCCCCCTTTTCCCACTTTCCTCTTCTCTTGTTCTTTATTCTCTCTGATTCTCCATTTTGAGTCTCTTTCCTCACCTTCTGTTCTGCACCTTGTTTCTGTTTTCTCTTCCCTTATTTTTATCTTCCAATTCTACATGTTTTTAGCTATCCCATATTTCTTTCTTCTCGTGGCCTTAGACATCCTTCTTCTATTTTTCTTGCTTTCAGAGACAAGAGGTCCTGAAGAGCCTATCTTTCCTCTCCTCAAGGTATCCATATTTTTTCAAATTTATCCCCGATATTTTTCCCTTTCTTCCTTTCCTTCAGCTTTCTGGGGCCAGATCCTCAGCTAATGTAAATCAGCCTAGCTACACTGAAGTCACACTTTCTTACATTAGCTGAACATCTGGCCCAGAGTTTTCTTTGCTTTTCACTGTCCTAACCCCAATGGTCCTGTTCACAGAAAAACTTTTAACCAAGTTTGTTTCTCCTTTTTCCTATGTAGGCTCCCCAGTCTGATTCACTTCCTTGCTTACACGTTCATGTTCCCTGTTTCTGCTTCTTCTTCCTCCTCTCTAAAGCACAACACATCCCTGTTGCCATCTTGTGACAGGAGGGTTTCACCTTGGCAGTGTTAAGATAGTAACATGGGGAAATGCTTGCAGTTGTAGATTAAAATGATTTAAAACATATTTCACTCAGTGCTCTGTAGAATAGTTAAATCCTCCTCCTATGCCAATAGAATATACTACACCTCTACCTCGATATAACGCTGTCCTCGGGAGCCAAAAAGTCATACCACGTTATAGGTAAAACCGCGTTATATCGAACTTGCTTTGATTCTCCGGAGTGCGCAGCCCCCCCCCCGAGCACTGCTTTACCGCGTTATATCCAAATTCATGTTATATTGGGTCGCGTTATATCGGGATAGAGGTGTACTTCATTACCATCCATAATCAGGCTGCAGGGAACAATCCTGCACTGATGTAAACTACACATAATAAACTATATGGTCCAATGTGTCTCTTCTGTCTATGATTTTCTATTCTGCATTAGTGTGTTCCTTGCCCCAAAAGTTAGCCAGATGGAAAGAACTTCTTATTTATTATCAGGACTCCATAGTGGGCTTTAGATAACAGCTGTTGATAATGATGGTGGCTTTTTTTATCACGTTATATAATTCTGTTGTAGTATCCAATTTTCCCTGTGGATGATGTAATTCCCATATGCTATAGGTGTTCTATTGCTTAGCAACACAGAGCAACACAGAACTTAACAAATCTGCAGCTATGCTTCATGAATCTTCTTCTTTCTTTATGGCTTGTGCATATGATAGTTATCCAGATTCACATGTTGAAACTCATTACATTTTATTGCATATAGACATTTACATTATGTATATTTGATGCACTGATCTTGGATGAGTTGTCCAGAAATGCTACATATTTGTACCAACCTTTAGGGTAAATTTGCCTGTGAATTTGAAGATCCATAGTTGTTAAAAAAACAAACCTGTACTTTCAAGCCTTAAGGAAAATCTATTAGTTCTAGTTTTCTGCTAACAGCTCCCTCCTTGCAATCACAAGTCTAAAACCCATAGATTTTTGAATCACAATAAACAGTTCTGCCATCTGTACCTAAAGGTATAAAACTGAACTGGCAGCTCCACAGGAATTCATCAATTTGAGCATAAATAAATGTGTTTCCAGTTGTCCTCACAGAGACATTCTTTTTTTTTTTTACTGTCTAGACAAGGAAACTGATCACAAATAATTCTAAACTCAATTAACTACTTTGAGCATAAAGTTTAAGCTTTTTATTTGTTCCCATATGTATTGCAAGAATAAGCAGGTGAAGTCAAAGACCTTGACGAAATGCATGGGTGATTACACTTGCCTATATTATTCATCGCTTGGAGTCTAACAGTACCACCTTCTTGATATTTTTTTCTAATCCAGTATTGCTTAATGCAACCGAGGCTCTTCTTGCTTTTTATGTATGCTCTTTTTAAATGTCACTTTTTTCATAGCCCTCATTTAATTTTACATTTGCTTATGATAGTCTCATAATTGATTTTGGGTGGTGTTCAACCACCTGTCTGTACAGTGCTGTTACTTACTTGTAAGCAATGTTTAAACTGTATATTTTAAATTACATTTAGAGCTCTGTTTTTAGCATTATCCCCCAAAACCCTTTTAAAATAATCCTCTCTCCAAATTCAAATTTCTTAGGGACAGATTTTGATACTCTTTGTCATCTAAAGTAGTACCTTGCTCCGCAGGAAGCTGCATATAAATCTTTAGGGCAGAGATCATCCTAAACCCAGGGTTGTGAGTTCAATCCTTGAGTGGACCATTTAGGGAACTGGGGTAAAAATCTGCCTGGGGATTGGTCCTGCTTTGAGCAGGGGGTTGGACTAGATGACCTCCTGAGGTCCCTTCCAACCCTGATATTCTATTCCATTCCCTTATTTGTGGTACAGAGGTTAATAGAGTGAGGCCCAGTTCCTGATTGGGACCTCTTGATGCTAGCAAAATTCAAATAGTAAATAATAATAATAATCAAGGAATAAATGTACCAGAACCTTGGCCTTTGATTAGGATTAACCCCACCTTTTTTTTTAATTCTAAAATTCTGCACATGGCCACCTTCAACATGACCTTGTCTGTTTGATGCTATATCACTGACTCAGTTTTCAATGCTATGTGTTGGATTCCAAACAAAAAGGCTTTCAACTGTGTACTAGTAGTAGCTTCACCACCACCAAAACAAAGGAGCTGCTTGAGATCCTGAGCTGTAAGTAAATTGTTCAAAAATTAGCATAGCTTTCAAAAGAGGCAGCACGATGAAACATGCATGGGAGATGCAACTGATGATGCATGTGAACTTGTTTGATGTAGGAATGCATTAGATTTTTTTAGCGCCATGGAAAA